ATTTTCCAAACAATTTAATATCTCTTTCTTTTATTAATTCTCAGCCAATTGTTAAATTGCTGTATAACAGGCAAAATAATAAGTACTCGTATACAAGGTGAGTATATCAACTAGTAAAGTGTTCGATATGTTCAATGTAAATTTATCTAATTTTGTACACAAATGTTTAAATGCTACATTAGTTTAATATTATACTCATTAATATGAATTGAATCATCAAGAAGATTTATGTATGCTCAGAGAAAGCATAGTTTAATAAAGTTTGAGTAGTAGGCCTGAGTGAATTATGAACATGCAATTGAAGTACTGTACTGTACTATACAATAGTACTGCCTGTCTCTTATACACATCTAGATGTGTATAAGAGATGTATATATATGTGTGTGTGTGTATCTGTATGTATATATATATATATATAGATTTATATATACGGTGTATACAGTATATACAGTATATAGGCCTATATACTGTATATTCAATACTCATGTAATGTATATATAATGTATATTTAAATATATATATAATATATATATAAAGTATATTTAATATGTCTATAACTCATTAAGCATTGTCATGATTGTGTCATTATTTTTTATCATATTGTTATTATCATTATTAGTTATATTATACCTTTTATATTTTTATTACCGATAATATTATTTTAGTAGTATTTTCATGCAGTTTTAATTATTGTAAGTGCATGTAAATGAAAAGAAATAACAAAGGCAACGATTTAAACACTTTAATTTTGGCTTTCCATTCAAATCTCTTTTGGTAAATACGGTATCCAGTAAATACATATTAAATTGGGGCCGAGTTGATTACTGTACTTGGGGCCGAGTTGACATGGGGTCGAGCAGTTGACTTCGGGCCGAGTTGACTTGGTTCCGAGTTGACTCGAATTCGCGTCGTCGCAGCAGCATGCATCACGAAAACGAACCGATGACTCAAGATGGATGACGAGGAGTTTTCACTATATTCACCGTAGCTCTCTTGGGCCAGTCGTATTATTTTCATAATTAAACGCTTTCCAATTGATTTAGATAGATCAACCAGGGTTTTTCAAAGGGTAGAGAAGCTAGGGTCTTGATATTTAGTTTCAATATGTCGGCAGAAACAGTTCCAATGGCAAACTGTACTTCTGCGACTGGAAGTACAATTTCACTGCCACTAGCAGCAACAACTTCAGGAGGCCACTCGTCGAGCGGCTCCCCGGCTACCAGCCGTCGTGTGAAGGGTGCGCCTAGCAAGTATGTCAAATTAAATGTGGGTGGATCTTTGCACTACACCACTATAGATACATTGACCAAAGAAGATAATATGTTACGTGCCATGTTTAGTGGAAGAATGGAAGTTCTCACAGATTCAGAAGGTATTTCAATACATTTCTCGATTGAACTAGCCTAGAAGAAGGGGGGGGGGGGCTTAGGCCTAGGCCTAGTTAGTGCGAACAACAAGGCTAGCCTAGCTTCTAGGAGACCTAGGCCTAGCCTAGGTAAGATAGCTAGGGTAGGTCTACCTAGGCCTAGGCTAGCGAGGATAAAAAGGCAGATGATCTGGTCCATGTGACGATCAGGCTCAGCCTCAGCAGGACGATCGGACGATCAGGCCCATTTTTTAACAGTTTAGCCCAGGCCAAAGTCTAACTAGAAATGGACAACTGGCTATAATAACATATTTTAACATTGAAATTTCTTGACTCTTTAGCATCATTGTTTTAATGATGATAATTTTTTTGTTACCAACAACATGTCAAAAATATTATTACACAATCAATCCTCAAAACACCCAACAGTCTGTTGTTAATGAGTGCTAATATTTTTTGATGTGGATTAAGCTTCTAAACGACCAAATATCATCATCCAACATCATCATCCAACATCATCAACATACAGAATTTAATATTAACCGTAATAACTAAAAAGCTGAACAGTCCATGCGTGTCTGGGTTTAAAATGTTCGTGTGATATGCTGAGAAGCAGTTTACCGAACAGACAATGCAGATACAGAACATAAAAACGATGACACGCTGAGGGTGTAAATGCAATTCAGTTATCTATTTACTGATTACATATATCCAGAGCACTCAAACTTACTGAACCAGAAGCTTGCCTGAAAACAATCTATTCATCAAAGTGGTGGTTGTTCCAACATGCCATTGTGCATTAAGATAGCAAGACTGAAGATTAAGGTTTGGTTCATGCCAGCTCCACCAATCAACAGCTTGGATTAGCATAAAGTCATCCGACAGTACACTGTACAAACTAAGCAAACCTTATTTGTAAATCATATAGCTAAACTATATATACAGTATATATATATATATTAATTAATTCCCTCCATTTTCTGATGTGTTGCAGGTTGGATTTTAATTGACAGAAGTGGCAAGCACTTCGGTGTTATTCTTAACTATCTGCGTGATGGACAAGCTCCCATGCCAGAGTCTACAAGAGAGATTGAAGAATTACTATGCGAAGCTAAATATTACTTAGTGCAAGGACTTGTTGAGAATTGTTTGCGGACGCTGAGACGGAGGAAGGATGAATATGAACCTGTGTGTAGGGTACCGGTTGTCACATCACCAAGGGAAGCACAGAAGCTTATTACATCCTCTTGTAAAGTAAGAAGAATGTTTTAGGCAGTGGCTGTTGTTACACTGATGTAACAATAGCCACTGTCAATATTTTTATGAGTTTAAAAACAAAATATTTTAAAGAAATATTACTTACTGAAATTAGCTGCTAAAAATCTTCTTGTTGTATTTATAAAGAAAATTATCGTGAAGTGGATCCATAGATTTGTTTACGGCCCACAAGGGCCAGTGGTGGCCCAGAGGGGCATGAAGCCAGGGAGGGCCATCATCCCCTCATTTGGACAAGACTGGGGTACCCCCTGTCATCCCACGCCATGACAAGGTCGTTGGATCAAAAATTTAAAAATTATAATATAACACTCCAAATAACATTATTTTGATTGCCAATCCCTAATTAATATTGTGGTCGTAAAACACACTTTGTAACATACTAAGCCATAAAACCTCTCCTTGTGATTTTTTATCCCAGGACTCAGACCAAGGCTCTAGTCAACCCAAATTTTATTTGAGAAAAACATATGACATGCCAAGAGGGTCCCTGACATTGTAGTTTTAAAAGAATATAATATACTATAATACCGTGTTGTTTCATTCAGTGGAGCCCTGACAGATTTAGACAATAAAAGCTGGGTTCTGATGTTCAAGATTTGTTTCTGATTTTGTGATCAATCTGCTTTGCATTGATACATTTTTAAAACATGTTTTGTTTTTCACTAAAATAGTCTCTGTGTTTATTTACACCTACATAGAATACATTGGCCTACTGTAGGCTTATACCAGTTCCGAAAGTTGGCCTATGTAATCTATGTTGGTTTTGTCATAAAATTGTCTGAAATATTTCATCATTCATGACCCATTCTAAGTTCTCCAACAATGCAGTTAACAGTTCATAAATGCCATAAGCTCTTACCACAAGCCTCAGACCCCCACCAGGGGCCTTCACCCCTGGGACTCCGATTGGGGTCCTCATGGCCCCTGGCCACCAGTGTCTGTTTGTTCGATCCGCTCGCTTATTGGGACCCCTAAAAACAGTCACTGCCAGAGCCCCACAAACTCTGTGATGCCACTGACCACAACATGGATACCAGCTATACTTACACTATGGTAATTTCATGTAGACCGACTTTGTGGTAATGACTTCATAGCATTTTATTACTCATAATGCTGGGCTTAGTTTTTTTTTTTTTTTTTTGTTAAATGTTGCATTGCCTAATACCTGTACTCAGTATCATTAATTCTTGGTTATTTTATTTTTATGTTGAATTGCCTAATACCTGTACTCAGTATCATTAATTCTTGTATGTCATAAAATATATTGTCTCCATGGTCATAACGCAAGTTTCCTTGCAATTTGATTTTCCAAACAATTTAATATCTCTTTCTTTTATTAATTCTCAGCCAATTGTTAAATTGCTGTATAACAGGCAAAATAATAAGTACTCGTATACAAGGTGAGTATATCAACTAGTAAAGTGTTCGATATGTTCAATGTAAATTTATCTAATTTTGTACACAAATGTTTAAATGCTACATTAGTTTAATATTATACTCATTAATATGAATTTAATCATCAAGAAGATTTATGTATGCTCAGAGAAATCATAGTTTAATAAAGTTTGAGTAGTAGGCCTGAGTGAATTATGAACATACAATTGAAGTACTGTACTATACAATAGTACTGCTGCTAAGATAGATTTCACTTTGGCAACTACAGCTGTCCAATGCAGATTTAGTGTATTTTTATTTCAACCAGAATTAATACGGGTCATTATCTTAGATATTAAAAATTATGTTTAGTTATAATATGGAAAGTTTAAGAATAGGAATAACATTTGTTTTTTTTCCAATATTCATTTGCAAAAACAAAACAGGAAGAGGCGGATGTAGGAAGAAAGAAGTCTGTACCTGTGAATTTGTCTCTCGACCTGATGTTCAGTCATGGTTCAGAAGTTCATAGTGTGCATGTTTTCGAAAACTTATAAATTCTTTAATTTTTTGTTTCAATTATTTTCTCAGTAACTCAGATGATAATATATTAAAGAACATTGAGATGTTTGACAAGTTATCATTACGCTTTAATGGTCGAGTTCTTTTTGTGAAAGATGTTACTGGACGAAGTGAAGAGATCTGCTGCTGGACATTCTATGGACACAACAAGAAGGTTGCAGAGATTAGTTGTACATCAATTGTATATACAAGTGAGAGGAAACAAACAAAGGTGAGGGGGCTTTCAATATTTCCATTGCTTAATTTGTTAGATTCTAAATATAAATTGGAATTAGAAAATGATTCCTTGTAAATTAATTAAAATATAAACTAGAGCAGTCACTTTATAAAGTGCATACCTCTGCCCTGTGTCTAAATACATACCCACAATACGCAGGCCGTGTATAATGACCAAAACTGCAGCATATACCCTCAAGGAAATAATGGCATCGGCCGTCGTATTTAGGCACATTATTTTCTTGAGTGCTGCCCATACCCTGAAGAAAATGGTGGAATCTCCCATCATATCCAGACACATTGATTTCTTGCTGCCAGAATACAAGGGCAATTCATTATTTTCTTTTATCCTCACAGGTAAAAAATTTAATTTCCGTGACCTTCACTTGGTCCTTTGACATTTTCATCCTAAAATTGAATTGTGTTTTTCGTTCTTTTATTATTATGTACCATTCCACTAAATTTTATGAAGATCCATTCATTAGTTTTTGCGTAATCTTTCTAACAGACAGATAGACGGACGGGGCATACATAACCTCCTTGGCAGAGGTAATGGTGCTGTTGCTTAGGATTGCTTTGCTTAGTCATGTTGTGACTACAGTAGGATGGAGAACCTCTACCTCTGGTCAGGTGGTAGGGATTTTGTATGTTTAGATTTTCAGTGGTGGATAGCATCAATAATATATACAGTACTGATTATCCCAGGCTAATTACAATTTTCAGATTCAGATATTCTTTATTGTCATAACATTTTCATGAGATTTGTCCTCCTTGTTGCATATGGGTTAAGAATTATAAAACTACATCAAAATACAGATAAAGTTAGTTAAATATATATCAAACACATAAAAATTTACATACAAAAACAATTTCATATTTTTCATGAAAGGTTGAGTTTCCTGAGGCAAGAATTCTAGAAGAAACTTTGAATATTCTGCTCTATGAACGCTGGGATGGTAATGATGGTTACGAGCTGTCACGCAGCGCCAGCAAGCATGCCCACACTGCACATTACCTGAGCGACGAAGATGATGAGTACTACAGACTACGCAAAACTTGAGTTGCAACTCTTGCAGGGCATTAACACTGAAAACTGGTTTAAGATATACCATCTGTGTTGTGCAAGAGAAATTTTAAAATATAATTATTACATTGCAATTTCTTACATTGTATATTATTAAAGTGTATTGTCATCTTTCAATTAAAGTATATAATGTAAAAATAATGCCCCTTTTTGGCTAGTACAGTTAAAGTTGCCTAAACTCAAATAATTTTCTAAGTCAATCTTATTTTAGATGCAAAATTGTTGTGTTTTCCATTAATTAACGATCTGTAAGTCAGTTTTCAATGCCATTTTGGATTCAACTTAGGCAAGTTCATCTCTAATCAGTTGAAGGATTTTTGTAGTAAAAATTCTGTATTGAAATTGTTATGCTCTGTCACATTGAAAGCTGATAAACATGCTATTTATAAAATATGCAATTTGTAACACGTTATATTTTCATTGCGGATTTTTTGGGCTCAGTACGGACTCTAAATATATGCATTTTCTTTTAGTTTTAAGGCGTATGTGGATTTTATAAGTCCGCAATGACGATATAACGTGTTTTGTGTTTTTATTTCATATTTCACCATAGATGGTATATCTTAAGGCCACTCCCTTCAATGTGAGGTGAATCTCACTGATTGGGAGGGGGGAAAAGAGAGGGGAAGGGTAGATGCATCATAGGATTCATCAGTGCAATATTATTACACATCCCTCTAATTGAATATTAACTGTCCAGTAAATGGTCTTTCTTGTTATTGCTTTAGGGTGGAGTACAGTAATATATTAGTATGGTATTGAATGTCATATGATGTAAAATAGTAGAATTACATATGCAAATGTGGCAGTGGATTGATCTGCTAAGCTCCACCCCTTGGATATTGTTGCTAAGGTCCCACAAGATGACAGCGGGAATCACAGATCTTATAAACACAAGATAGTGTTCTCCGCAATTTTACGTGTAACAAATACAAGCGTCGATTTGGCACAGAAAAGTAATCAGTTTTGGGAGAGGGTGTCCTAGTCGTTGCCATGGATCTGAGATAGGGTGTTCGTGTTACGCCAAAGTTTGTTACCAAGTATGTTAAATTGTTCCTTATGTTCTAGAGAGAGGGCGCATTGTAAATCGGGCGCTTCTAATTGTTATGCGTAAACGTAAAGTCGCGCGGCGTACACTATGGTCAAAGCAGTCAAAGTTAAAAAGTTTTCAGTTTTGCAAGAGGGCGCCATACACTTTGTTATTACAGAATTTGCACACGGAAAACGCAGAGACATGTCCCATGGGTTGATGAGACATTCACATATTTCTGGCCCCGCCTATTGAATACACATACTGAATGGTCAGTTTTTAATTTCATTGACACTTTGAAAAGGTTAATTGTTATTGATTTGGTTGCTCTGTTGGGCATTATAATTACAGAGGCAACTCCCTATGATATTATTTATATTAAACATAATTAGCAGGATTAACAACATTATTTTATTTTTATCTGAACATGACGAACCACCACTTCAAGTTGTTGATATGACGGGAAATGTGTAAAGTCAAATTTATGACTGATTTATATCTTTTTCAACCTGCACTGTTATAAAAAAAATGTTAAAAGTTGAATTACACTCTATGAGCACCATGATATGATTAATTCAAGTTTAATCATTTAGTAGAGGATTAAAAAAAACAACACTAAATTCTTTCAAACTTGTGTTCTTTTATATTTTTCTATTTATTATAATTTATTTTTTAACAATTTCGATATGTAGACATTTAGTCTCTAGTTAAACATTATATTAATAAATTATTATTAGAAAGAATCAAAAGAATAGTTTGTTTCCCTCCATGATGATTTACACGGTAGTTGTAATTGTTTGATTATAATTATCCAAACCGATGAGGGCGGTGTGTACGACGAAGGAGTTTTTTAAATAAAAGACTACAGTTACGTCATTTAGGTGTTTATTGTCGACTGAAATCGGACCAAAGTTCATGTGACTAGATTAACAAAACATATGTAATATTACGCTGTAAACGTATCGGATATTGTATTGTGCAATTATTCCAACCAATAAAACAAGCTGCATAAAGTACTGTATATGACTTCATTTATTATTGTATTGTACATTTGATACCGGCGCTTTATAAATTGTCATAATAATAATAATAATAATTATTATTATTATTATTATTATTGTTATTATTATTATTATTATTATTATTATTATTATTATTATATTGAAACTTATCAACATACTATACAGTATTTATAACTTCGCTTGATTTGACATGACGGCCGACAATTCTGAGTCAGGGGCTAAATTTGTCACTGTAAGTTGTAGTGTTTATACAAAAGGGCCTACATCACTGGTGGCAAGTCATCCAGTACTAGTTTGTTACAAAGTTATCAGAATCAATATTGACATTTGAGTGAGCTTCAAATTCATAAATGGGCCTTTTGAATTTCGCCTGGGGGTATTAACATTGACGTGGCATTCCACCACGTGACAAGGAAGTACGAAGGATTTCTTTTTATAGCCATATATGTGCTTTCATTTATACATGCTACACCAGGAAGCCAAGGTATCAATATGTCATCAGCATTTTCTAGTTAGTAAATCCACGTCTTTATCTGGTTGTATATTTGATCTGCAAATCATGAGACTATCAACGATAGTACTATACTATAAACATTTTTCAAAACCACAGAAAACACCAGCACTCAATAACAAATAATGTAAAAAATCTAGTATAATAAAATTGTATATAGGCCTATATATACACATATATACTACCGTATATATACAGTATATATTATATTGAGTTTGTGTATATAAAACAATATATATACATATATACTGTATATATATATTTATATATATATATATACCTGTCTCTTATATATATATATATATATATATATATATTGAGTGTGTGTGTATATAAACACAAAGGTATGGTCTTAAATTTGCCACAATTTATTGAAAATTTAATCAATGAGATCTTTCAAATGAGGCCAGCCAATTCTGGCTTATGAGTGACAATACAGTTAAAATACGGTACATTATAAAATCGGATGCAATAATAGTAATAAAATAGGCCTACATCTACGTATGTATTTCTTATATTATTATAGGTTTGCTGCGTAGCACGGTAAAATGTATAATAGATTAAAAAAAAATAATAACAGCACACAGGAACAAGGTGTTATGTATGAGGGAAAGTACCTGGGGTCGGGTGTATGATTTGCGCCTCCATAATTGCTATGCAGTGGCGGCGCCAGCGTCTGAAATCCGGGGGAAAAGTGAAAAGTGAGGGGAAAATACGATTTGGGTGGGGGGTGCAATGTCCCCGTGGAGGCGTCGGGCGTTGATTAAAATGTAACGGAAATGGTCCAGGGGCGGATCCCCCGAAAATTATGACAATTTTGGGGTAGAGGCTTATTTAATCGATTTTATAATGTCTACTAATATGTAGAAAATACTTAGGCCTATCATTTTTCTCTTCCCGACGAATTGTGGTTTATCTGGGTGGGGCTGGGGAAACTAGTGGGGTAAAGAAAATTGTCTGGGGGCTAATTCCCCCATTTTCCCCTTTCCCGTAGCGCCGCTACTGTTTCTATGGTCTAATAATGGTATGACACTCAACTCGAATGCCACCAAGACACTTCCATCTGAATAAGGATGTTTTCGTTGAAGGGTGTTACGTTCCTATTCGAGCACTGTTATTATTTATAAAGAAAATAAATGCTGATTATTTTAAATACATTTTTGAATAAGGCATGTGGAAATAACAAATGTTTGTAAAATACAATTAGCTAGTTTTATCTTACTCTAATTAGCTAAATGGAAGATATTAAATTCTGCCAATAATTATCATATGTGGTAAAATTCACATTTGTAAATAGAAGCAATAGGATTTAGCCTGTTGCTTCCTTCATTCTGACTCAGCCTACCACTTGAATCAATTTATAATTTTTAAAGAAAGTTCATTTTAAACTGAAAAAAGGATCAATAATAGCAATGACCATCTATAATCAAGAGTAACTGTAACGATTATAATTAGGTCTAATAATATTGCAACCTTTTGCTTGTCTAACATTAGTAGTATCGGCATTCCACGATAATGTATCGAAAAACAACACAATAATACAGTGTTCAATTTAAAGAATACATAAAACATTTTGGAGCACGTATGTTAACAATTAAAAATAGTAATAATAATAGCATTAATTGTAACATTAATAATACACATATAGGCTTATTCAGATTCAGCACTATTGTTATTCACAACCACCGAAGTAATGATATGTGAATCGAAAAATAGATGAATTTGTTCTTTGGCGTGGCACGACCATTAATTGGAACAGATTATAATCGAAATCCTCCCAGTATTAAGCATTAATGACCGTACTTTGAACGCATGAGGCTTTAACATGCCATGACCCAAATATATATATACGTGTCAATGTAAAATACAAGGTCAAAGGTGCAGGTATAACTTTACAGATAAAATTAAACTCCTGTTAGTGCCAATATTTAATTTTCTCACGAAATATCAACAAAGCAAAAAATTCACTAGACCTACAGACTATAATGCTATGCAATATGATATGCCTAATAATAGATCAATAATTAATATATCAAGAGTAAAGTAATAGCGTGCACAAGTGTCAGCGAATTTGCCCAAGTTCGTTTACAGTCCATCCAAAAAATCCACAACCTGTTTTCCAATAAGATCTGGCGAGTCTTCTTGCACAAAATGTAGACCAGTACAATTACCGACTCGATGGTTAGGCCAGTCTTTAGTTAAAAATTTGATGGCTGGAGAGAAAAAGCCTGGTTCCGCATCCAGATACAGCTTGGGTACCTCAGAACTCTGTGACAACCACTTGCCATATGCCTTCACAATCTCAACGACTTCCCCGCCCTCTGATTCAATCGGAAGGGAGCGCGCAAGGGTGAGAAGAGGCCGGCGAGACTCACCAGGTTCCAAGTACGGCTGGCGGTAAATCGCCATCTCTTCGTCGGACATATTCCGAATTATGCCTTGCTTTAAAAGTTTCTCGATGAAAATGTTGTCTTTCAAAATGGATGTTTCTCCAGCGGGAGTGTGGAATGACTTGAATATATCCACGACGCTAGTAGTTGATTCAGGTACGTTTTTAATTGTTGGCTCTTTAAAATTCTGCTTCCAATATTCCCAGCTTGGAATCGGGTGTACGAGGCTTTCCATATGTACGATTCCCGCCACTCTTGTCTGGTTTTGGAAAGCCCAGTTGAAGCTCAAAGCCGAACCCCAGTCATGACACACCAGCACAACCTTTTCTGGCACACCAGCTGCCGTGAACCACTCAGAGAGGTAGCGGAACACATCTGTGAATTTATATTGACTGCCTTCAGGTAGTTTACTTGACATTCCCATGCCAATTAAATCGGGGGCAAAGCATCGGTATTTTGACTCTGCGTGCGGTATGACGTTACGCCAGAGGTACGATGACGTTGGATTACCGTGGACAAACACAACGGCAAACTTTCCATCAAGTTTAGCTTCGGGATCAGAATCATAGTAACTCATCTCTGAATCCAAAACTTTGACTCTCTTGGCAAGTGAATACCATTCTGCACGAACCTTAGGGTTTTCAGCACTCATGATGAAAATAATGACGGTGTCGATTCAAAGGCGTTGTGACCACAACTCAGCTCAGTAGTATACCGTTCTGTATGCCTCACCAGGGCTATTTACATTTCGTTCAAACAAGAGCGTACCATTGCCATCTAGGTAATACAATATTGTTATTTCGTTTCCTTTTCACGGGAATGTGTATGAACCAACCAAGGCCCCATGCCACACACCTACATTCAATCTTCCGTTCTTAAATGTGTCGGTAATCCTACACGTAATGTGAGTTGGTCAGGAACATCATAAATATTAATACTTTGGATGGAAGTGGAATAGGTTCCGTTCATTGTGTAAGTGTTAATTATTGCCATACATTATCGACTTTACCCAACAGACAAATACTGGAAATGTGTTTTTCTGCCACAGGGATCATGGCCGAGTTATAATTTGTCGTATGAAGAATGCAAAAACAATCGTAAAATTTAGTAGAGCGGTTAATTTGCCAGACAGGCAACATAAATATAACGGTTAAAAGCTCAAAAGTCAAGGTCAATATGTCACAAAGCAACGTTATTTTGATGTATACTATTGGCGGAGGTACATTCTTTTGCAAATTTCAGGGGACAATACAAATTCCCGGCTCAAAAAGGTCCCAGGTACTTTTGTACGATGGAGAGAATAGTTTTAGTCACAATATTATTTTGATCAGTATTGATATTAGGCTATAATGCAAATTTTCAGCCTTGTGCTTTAAGGTGTAGGGAACACCGTCCCCCTTGTGACACCTACTTGGGCCCCCAACTTTCTCACTACTCGTTACACAACATGTTCACTAATCATGAAAACAACACTTCATTCGGTTGAAGTGCGTTGGGCCTGTGTTTTGAAGGATATCACATTATAAAAAAAAATTGGGGGAAATACCCTGCATCCATCCTGGAGACCTGTCTCAGGAATTCGGTAAACAATCGTGTCACGCAAGAGGAAAACAAATTTTTGATATGTTGTAGCCTACAACTGATATCGATTAAAAGCTAAAAAGCAATTGTTCATATAGAAATAAAAAGAAATAGGCCTAAGAGAATTTGTTACACTGGGACGATTTGATAACAAGTTATCGTGTATACGATAACAAATGATTTGACAAATCAGTTCAAATGACGTCATCATCATAGAAAAACGATAAAATTGTTGTTACTAATACAATTTTATCGTTTTTCCATGATTATGACGTCATTTGAATTGATTTGTCATAATATTTTGTCATCGTATAAATCGTTATCGAATCGTCCTAGCGTAAAAACTTCTCTTATTTATTTTAATTTCATATGAACAATTGCTTTTAGCTTTTTATCGTTATCGTTATCGTTGCAAGTATAAACAGGCATAATGAGATACAGATTTTGAAATATCTAAAAACCAGTGGGGGTAAATGGTTACACCTCTTTCCCCCAGTTTTTATATTTAAAAAATCTGTATCTCATTAACCATTTCCGGAGTTTATCGTCAATATCAAACACTCTTTTTGTGTCAAAAATAAGTTGAAAGCATATCATTATCAAAATATTTTTTTCCTCCGGAGCCTGGCTTTAATCAGGGGCGTCGATCCCTGCTTGAAAGTGGTGGATGAATGGGAAAATGGAATCATTGGGCCGCGGCCGTAGGTTCAAGCTTTTGGCTAGGTGCCGTGGTCTGCGGCCCCGGTGAGGTCCGAGCTAAGCTTGGGGCTCCTGGGAACGAATCCCCGGAACTTATAAGCTCCGATCCGGCGTTTCTGCCTTTTTAAAAGTCGTGTTTAATTGATTTTTAAAGATAAAATTATTATTCACAATTAATATTTATTTCCACACCACTTTTTTCAGAATTAATATATTCATCACAAAAGAGTGTTAGGGCCTACCTCTATCTTGAATGAAATGCTTTGTATATAGGCCTATTAGGTGTGCAGAATAACATTCATACACAGGGCCGTAGTCACCGGTACGGTTGGTCAGGCTTCAACCTGACCAATTTTTACAGACCACAAGTTAATTAATTAGGTTTTGAATAGGAAAAAAGTGCTAAATTCCACCTGTATGTTTAGACTCAACCTACTCTCTTTGACATAACTCAAGAACCGTTAATGATAGTTTACATTATTTTCATATTTTTAGTATAAAATTTATAATGACTGATTAAGAAATTATAATGCATTTTTTCTTCAGTTGAAATTTAATGTCTGGGCTTAGCTTTTATTTAAATGAAGTAGGTCAATTACACAAGTGAGCTTTTGCAGAAAATCAGACCAAAAGGTTCCATACACTTGCCAAGGACATATATTCTCTTCTTCACTAAATTATCAAAGCAAGACAAAAAACATATGCCTTAATCTGTATATTTATTCCTGATAGTTCTAGCATGCAACATTATTTTCTATAAATAAACCTACTGTAAATATACCTTTTTTAAGCTCTTCTCTTAAATACATCATGTCAAGCGCGGATCCAGAGTTTATCCTGGCTACCGCACAGATGGGTTGCCATGGTGGGAGGGGTCATGAGAAGAGAGCTAGCTTGTTTTGTCGCTGGAAGACAAATTTTAGATATGGGGTGGGGAGAGTCTTCGGCTTCTCCTTCGAAAAGTGTTTGTATTCTTGATGCTTTGAAATACACTTCGTGCATTATAAGACGTCTATTATTGAATACACTCGGAGTTCATAGTTTTTCCCTACTTTGTTATGGACAATTAATAATTATGATGAAGAAGAAGATGATGATGAGGAGGAGGAAGCTGTGCAAGATTAATTAACAGGCCCTTTGATGTGAAGTGTCAAGCGAGGCCCATAGCCTAAGTTACGGTTGGAAATTTGGAGGCATTATCGTCGTCGTCAAATTAATGTTCAATGCACACAGTCGGACAATAAATGATTTATATCTGTCTTGTATAGAAAGTAATATGAAACCCATAAAATATCAGTTCAGGCATTCATTTATCTGTCTGTGGAAAATATAACAAATGAATCATACAAATAAAAAGAATTCAAATAAAATGAAAATATGTAAAAAACATCTACACTAAATCAAAATGGAATATTCACTGCCTGTTAGATCCCAGTTTTAGTATTGCAGGGGTTCTGAAGGCTTTACAGTATAACCAATCCACGTATTTCTGATAGATTGCTGATTAAAATGTAAAATATTTAGGATTTTATATTCAGTACATTCTCAAATGTTATGTAAATCCCAAAATTACGTTATATTCATGCACCGAAGTAGAAAGTTTAACTTAATAATTTTGATATGTTTTATGTTTTTTATTGAATGCTTTTTAATATTACAGTATGTCCACAACATAAGGAAGTCCTCTCCTTTAAACTTCTAATCCGAACTTTGCGTATCTCAATATACATATATATTTCCTAAATCAAGGAAGTCCACTTGTTAAATTAGTATAGGCCTACGGTATATAATATAGAGAATTTTGTCTGTCAATCTCAGATATCCAAATTTTAGGAAATGAGAACTTTAACCTAATAACTTTGATATGTATGTTTTATGTTGTTTGTTGAATGGACTTCTTTAATAATAATATTACAGTCTAATATGACCACAACATAAGGAAGTCCACTCTGTAAATATTTAGCATAATATTGTACAGAGAATTTCGATTGTTTATCAATATCATTATACACATGTTATAGATCCAAATCACCGCACGGAACTGAGGTTAAACATAATAATTTTGATATGTACATGTTTTATGTTAGGCCTGTGTTGATTGGTCTTAGTTAATAATATTACAATTTATTGGCCTAATGTTTATAATATTAAATTTTAATGGCTTACAATAATATAACAGTTTAATGTTTTAATGAAACCCTGTACCCCTACGTGTGGTCCTTGGCGGCCCCCTAGCCGCAACCTGACCAGCAAACTGAAGAGGTGGGTTTCAATTCAAGATGGGCTTCTTCCTG